GCTGTACCCGCTGTGGATGTTTTTATCCAATAAATGAAGTGCACATAGGTACCCGAAGCAGATGCACCGTAGACACTGTTGGTATACCAGTATTTATTAGAACCGGTTACCGTGGTACTTAAATTCAGTGAATAGGTACCGGTCCTTGCATTGGCGGCAACGTTGTTAATGAGTACACTTTCAGTGGACGAACCAACCGTCCATCCGAGCAATGCCCCATCTTCAAATCCGAACGGATTGGAATTGGTCTGGGCAGCCAATTTTGAGCAGTTACACATTAATAAAAATAGACACAAAATAAATGTGCTATTTAAAATGCCTGATGTCCGGTTGAAAGTTGTTAAGTAGTTTTTAGTCATATTTTCACTTTTGGCATGAAAAATATTTAAAATTTATAGGCTATGGCTTCTATTCGCAGGTACTGATCAGGTATAAACTTTCCGGGGGGAAAACATAGAATTTAACCATTCGGATCAGCTAAGTACTTACTCACTTTAGGGAACTAAACTATTCAAAAGAAATTGTCAGGTGAAAATTTTGACTTATAAATCTATGCAATCGTTGTCGGTAACGTTTGCAACTTCATTATTAGACATTTTCACCTATCTCCCGTTGTCGGGACAGGTACCAGATCCTTCATTGATCTGTCAATTAATAATTTCAGAACCGGAATAAAAGCTCAGGTGATTTCCAAAATTTTACAGGACGGCACAGGACAGTGACCAATTTCAAAGGCATAAAAGCGGTTGATAGCAGCTATAATCAGTATATATCCACGTAAATTGACCTTAGATCAGGTCAAATGAAAAGAATTAAAAAACTGTATGATTGCCGCAAACGTGTCCGGCAACGATTGCATAGTTTTTTATCCTGAAAAGCATAATTACAGCAATCAAATCTATTACGTTTGTCTTAATAAGACTTTAGTAAGTAAGTATCCACTTTCCATTTATCCGCTTTTTTATTCAGCAATAAACTTGTAGAAAGAATTAACGGCAAAATGGGTTCAATATTCAAAATAATATTTTCATACTATATAAATTATGAAGAAAATTTACTTTTTCAACATTATTTGTTTACTATTTCTCCTGTCTGGCAAAGCCTATGCCAGTCACTGTGCAGGAGGAGAAATATTATATAAATGGGTGTCCGATTCTACTTACGAAATCACGTTTAAACTTTACCGGGACTGTGGCGGCACCCAGACTGCACCGCAGACGGTTCCGCTGTGTTATACCAGCACCTGCGACAATTCGTCTCAGACGGTTGTACTCACCCGGCTCAGTACCCTGCCGGACGGCACACCCAATGGCTCACCGGTAAGTAGCGGTTGTGGCGGCTTCCCTACTAAATGCGAGGGTGGATCCCTACCTGGTTATGACGAGTGGTGGTACACGAGCAAAGTAACCCTGCCCCACCGTTGTGCCGAATGGCAATTCAGCGTATCGATCAGCGCGCGGAACGTAAGTAATAATCTTACAGGTGGCTCCAATAATGACTTCTATATACAATCAACCCTTAACAATGTCGTTGCCCAGGGCAATTCCTCCCCCTTCTTTACCGTAAGGCCGGTTCCCTTTGTCTGCATCAACAATCCATACACCTTTAATAATGGGGTACAAGATCCTGATGGAGACTCACTCAGCTATGAGATCATGATCCCTCAAAAGGGCGGATGTGGTACACCAGGCGTAGACATTCCGTTCAGAGATGCTACTTACAATACTATTAATAACCCGATCAGTACGGGGAATACCTTTGTCTTGAATACGCATAACGGACAAATGAGTTTTACCCCCAATGCAACGGGGGCCAACACGCTTACCCTGCGTGTACGGGAATACCGCCGTGGCATTTTGATAGGTAGTGCTACCCGGGATATTCAGGTACAGGCCCAGGCGTGCACCAGCGTACAGCCGGCAATAGGCACTGATTCCGTAAGTATAACCGGCGCCCGGCTTACCAATGGCAGGATAGAGCATTGCGCCGGTAGCCCGATGAACTTCTGCTTTAATATTAAGTCGCCCAATGCAGGTGCCGTGCTTGTCGCCTCGGACAATCATTCGGCAATTGCTCCTGGCTCAGTAGTCACTTATAGCGGGCAAAAGACCGATTCCATCCGTGGCTGTTTCTCCTGGATCCCCTCTGCTACGGATACCGGATTCCGGACGTTTGCAGTGACGGTAAAAGATTCCACCTGCCTTCCTCCCGGCATTGCCGTATCACAGACGTTTCTCCTTCCTATCTATATTTATTCAGTTACCAGTATTGCTAAAGACACCACTATCTGTGCCGGGCAATCCGTGCAGCTGATTGCTACCGGCGGCACCGCATTTACCTGGACGGCATTACCAGGCGGCTCGCCGGTCAGCACCCTAAGCTGTACCAATTGTAATAACCCGGTTGCTACTCCTGCAGTAA